TGCTCAGGATGGAATCAGAAATGCACAACCTGGATTTGTGCGAGAAATAACACACGATATGTGGGTTGTAGAAAGGAGACCAACTGTCAAAATCCCTACGGCAGAGATCCATCACCTGATGACGACATGGCAGACGATAGTAGTGAACCCCCTCAGTCGGAAAATACTGTTCATGAGGTGAATGACATTCAGTCAACAAATTGGAAAGGCATGTCGGGGGACGATGCTGAAAAGTGGGTCATAGAAGTCTACTCAGAAGTGGTCAGGTGGTCGCCAGCTAACCTCTTTGAACTACCCAAGTGTGCGGCCACCAAAGAAATGATTCGGGAGATGATTTGCCTCTAACAATTACACTCACGACAGCCCCCTGGCCCCATTAGCTCTTCAAATACTGGCCATAATACCCCATCTATTCTGTCAGAGGACACATGCAAGGTCTAAGTGCAAAGAAAATGTGGGAGCAATGAAAAGGAGATTGACAATGTGGCAGAAAGGGGCCCTTGATGATCTCCTAAGCAAAGCAAGAACTCTGCAGGAGTCTAAAATTCATAGGAGACGGAAAGCAAAACATCGAGGATGTTGCCAGAAAATTTGGTAACAAGATGCATGAGGGAAAAGTGTCCTTGGCGGTAAGATCTCTCACAGAGGAATTTTCCGGTGGTGTCCTGCCAATACACAGAGAGACATTACAACAACTGAGGGAAAAACAACCCCCTGCAAGTGAAGAGGAAGGCATCAGGTTCCAGGGAGCCGATGTCCCTCCTAATGCTGTCCTGTTCGAGAAAATAACGGGAGGGATGGTGTGAAAAAAGCACTGAAAACTCAGGGAAGGGCTGGCCCTTCAGGCCTGGATGCAAACGGTTGAGAGTCATCCTCAGCACTAACAAGTTTGGTGCCGTAGCAAGTGATCTCTACAATGCCATCGCCGCCCTTGCAAGAAAGCTAGCAACCTCATGCTGCCACCACCTCCATGCTCTGATGGCCTGCCACCTTATTCCCCTGGATAAAAATCCAGGATGTAGGCCTATAGGAGTGGGGGAAGTGCTGAAGCGGATCATTGGAAAATGCATAATGGAGGTGGTAAATGATGATGTCAGGGCAGCAGCCAGGAACCTGCAAGTATGTGTTGGCCATCAGGCTGGAGGGGAAGCTACCATTCATACCACGAGAAAGATATATGAGCAGCGTGATTGTGAGGCAGCACTCCTGGTTGACGCTTCCAACGCATTCAACATAATCAACCGATAGGCTACACTGCACAACATCAAGATCAAGTGTCCAGGCTTTGCAATGTATGTTAAAAACACCTATAGGAACCCATCAGACCTCTATATAACAAGTTTCAAGGCCCTAAGAGGAGATACCACCATACATTCAACTGAGGGAACAACGCAAGGGGACCCTGTCGCCATGGCAATGTACACACTAGGCCTTTCCGTGCTCCAACATACAATACGAAACAACCGAGGTAAAGCAAGTGGCTTACGCTGATGACCTAACAGGAGCAGGAAAAGTGGAGGACATAAGAAAATGGTGGGACCTGGTAACATCACGAGGTCCACAAATAGGGTACCATCCAAATGCCAGTAAGTCCTTCCTCATTGTGAAGCCAGAACACTATGAACGGGCAATGGAGGTGTTCGGCGGAAGCGAGGTAAAAATAACAAAGGACGGCGAAAGACATCTAGGTGCAGTAATTGGCATGGAGGACTTCAAGACCGAGTATGTAACGGGAAAGGTTAATGAGTGGGTGAAGGAAATCCAAGCTGTGTCTGATATTGCTAAAACAGAGCCACATGTGGCGTCTGCGGCATTCACCCATGGAGTCGAGCATTGCTGCCCTGGTGCACACTATCCCTGATATCGGACCCCTCCTTCGCCCTCTGGAAGAAGCCATCAATGTTGCTTTTATCCCAACACCAGTGAAAAACCCTTACTTAACCCCAGCAAAAAGGTCACTCATTGCACTACCACCGAGACTAGGAGGAATGGAATTGATTAATCCAGTGGAGCTTGCCGATACAGAACATCAGAACTCTGTCAAGCTCATGGCAGCTCTCACTGAGCACAAAATAGATCAGAATGCAGCAAGTCAGAATCGACGGTCCATTACGACAGAGCGGCAGCACACTCAAAGTGATAAACTGCAACAACTGTTGCAGCAATTGCCAGAGAATATGAAAAAAAAAAAAGTAGCTATAGCTCAGGAGGTGAGCGCCTTTAACTGGTTAACAATGTTACCGATAAGGGCAAAAGGAAATCAGTCATGATGCCAGGGTAAAACCGACCCTCCTTCCATTGGATGGTGAGAATTTCCAACACAGGAATTCAAACAAATCAAACAAAGACCGTGTGGATGTCAATACTCGTGGATTCTGGACAGCGAGCCTTCTTTGACATAAGGATTTTTTATCCCATGGCCGCATGTCACCGTAACCTAGCTCTCAATGCTGCACACAGGAGGAACGATAACGACAAGTTTAGGGCATATAGGGAGAGAATTCAGAATGTTGATCAAGGCAGCTTCACTCCTCTGGTGTTCACAACCTCTGGTGGGATGGGACAAAATGCAAGATGCTTCTATGCCAGACTCGCAGAGCTGTTATCTGAACAGAAGCAGCAGCCCACAAGTTATGTTACAGCCTGGTTGAGATGTCGACTGTCCTTCTCTCTGCTTAGATCTGCATTGCTCTGCCTCAGGGGAACGAAAGCATCGGCCCTAAAGCTGACAACAGTCACAGATATCAACTATGAGGCAACAGTCACTGAATGCCACATAGATCTGCGACTCAACTAACTCAACACAGCTAAGGTAGCTACTTATGTATAAGGATAGTTAATTTAAAGGCAATAAAATGGCGGCAATGGTGTGGCTATTGGGGGAGGCTGGAGGCCACGTTAAAAAAAAAAAAAAAAAATAGTAGTAGTAGTAGAGTAGTGTTGTGGAAGGAGGATGAAGGTCATGATAGCTCAGGGTTTTTCGTCAAAAACCAGGGTAGGGGTGGAGATGGGTGGGTTATGGACGTCGCATTCCGAGCTATATCACAAAAACTGGATTTTAGAAAAAAAACGGCTTTTTGTTCAACCTCTGAATGCGACGTCAGCAAGAATACCCGAGCAGGAGGTGACTTTGCATACAAGGCTCTGCTGACTGAGGTCCAGATTATATTGTAAACCGTTTGGAATGTAGCAGCGTAACAAATGGACCTAAAAAAAGATTTATGCAATGAACATATGGATGTTTTTTATTACAAGTGGCAGTGCTCCACACTCAAGGTCGGGGGAGGTATTTTCTGTCCCTCTCTGCTTATTTTCCTTACATTTTTACTAATATTATTTGCTATATTGTACTTAGATTACTATGGCAATAGGCAGTGTAGTAGGAAGAAGGAAGGAGTCTGGGAGGGAGGGAGGGAGGGAGGGAGCAGTGTGGGAGGGAGGGAGGGAGCAGTGTGGGAGGGAGGGAGGGAGCAGTGTGGGAGGGAGCTAGTGTAGGAGGGAGAAAGGAGTGTGGGCAGATGTAACCATGCTGTGGGAGTGGTGGGGGTAGGGGAAATTGTGGGAGTACTGGACATTCCTGGAGATGGGGAGGGCAGCAACCCTCTCTCCTCCACTTTCCATTCATCATTGTCATCGTCATTGCTTTCCTCTTGTTTAAACACGTAGTACGGGTCACTATCATTATCATCACCTTCATTATCACTATCAATACGTGCCTCTGTCAATACCATGTTCATCTTCACCCCAACCAAATAATTCAAAGTATATCTCATCCTAATTGAGTTACATTAATGTGCCATGGCTATTGAGAGACTACTACGTAGGTAGTAGGCAGCTATCAAACAGGGAGGTACTACCACCTGGGAAGATATTGGGAGCATAATGTGTTGTCTGTTTGACCCTGCTGTCATAAGGCATCACAAAAATTGTGACTAAGTCCCAGGTTGCAGATCTGACTTTCTGCCTCATTTACAAACAATTACTTTTGACAACACAACATACATACTGTATATTGTTTCTCACTCTTGACCTTTTTTCACTTTTGTATTTATTATTATTATTATTATTATTATTACATCCCCGTCCGATGTGGGTCAGTGACCTGTGTTTGGAGGGGCTAATCCCCGAGAGAAAAAAAAAACTTCACTAGACTCTTGAACTCCGATACCATTAGGGACCATTCTGTTTCTGTCGATACTGGCCGGAGACGGGACAGCGCATCTGCCCAATTGTTTTGCACTCCCGGTATATAAGTTGCTTTGAGGTAAAGTGTTTGTGTTGCACAAATACTGAAAATTTTTTCTGACAGTTGTAGAAGGGGCCAAGACCTTGTTGACCCTTGATGATTGAGACAAAACACTGCCATTTTGTTGCCCATGGCAAACAGGATCGTCATATTTTGTAAATTTGGGTTTGCCGACAAAAAGAATAGGACCACTGCTAATTCTTTTAAATTTATGTGTTTGTCCCAAAGGAAGTTGCTCCACTTCCCTTGACTGAATTCCCCTTTTGAAGAATGGTATCCCCATCATATTTTGGACGCATCCGGACAAACGACCAAACCTGTTTGAGGCGGAACCCAGGGAGAGGGACCGATTAGATTGTCCCAGTTTGTCCACCATAACAGATGATTCTTTATCTGAATACGGAGAGAAGAAGCAACATTTCTCACTGACGTCGCATTACTTCCTGTCGGTCTTGCAGCCATGTACAGTAAGTAATGTGACAGAACTGGAAGCTAGTAGGCTTGGCAAAACTGCACCAGCCCAGGATTTAAATGCCAAGTAACAATTTTAAACGAGGTGAGTTGCCACTTTTACTAGTATTTCTTGTTTTCTTCGGTCATTTTGGGGCGTTTGAGCCATAAAACAAGAATTTTATTTTTCCCAACCGGCGGGGGGGGGGTTACCACGTACAGAGGGTATGTTTATAATGTGACCTTTTACGGGTTAATTCAAGCCACCCTGGTTTACAAGAAAAAATCATAAATGAAAACTTACCCTGTCAGTAGAACAGCTACTTAGAAATGAACCAGAGACAGGATGGCTGAGAGGTGGAGCTGAAGTTCGACAATTTTGAAGATCAGAGTTTAAACAACTAAGAGCTGTATTGGGAAGAAATTGGCTTGGGGAAAGAGAGCCAGAGCATCTTCGGGACAGTCCCAAAACTGAATGGCTTGGGGAGGTTTCAGAAGTAGAGGGGCCTGGTGACTGAATAGATATTGAGTAACTTGAGGATGGTTCAGACACTGGTGAAGTTTGTGAGGTTTCAGTGACTATGCAGGTTGTTGATGACTCGGGACCCAAATGGCTTGGTAATAGCTTTGTAACAGAAGGGTTTACAGATGTCTCAGAAAAGCTGTGCATTGATGATGACTCCAAAGATGAGTGAACTGTTGGTAATTCAGAGTGGGGGCAAGCTGAAGATGAGTCCGACAACTGGTCAAGTGAAGGCTCTGAGAATGGTTTAACTGGAGAAGCTTCAACGTCTGGAGAAAATGGTGAAGAGGGCCTCACCAAATCTTTATCATCTTGCCTATCTGAAAATGACAAACTGCAATTACAAATTCATCCTCTAAAAGAATAAAATTTCCTGCACACAAGAGAAGCCCAAATGGCCAACAGGCTGATCAGTGACAAAGAGGATGAAGTAAAATACATTGGCACAAATACTTGGCAAGGATATTCAAACGGCTCACTTGAAGGTACAGTAATCAGGATCTCTTTGTATAGTATATTAAACCTTACGAAGCAATCACTTCAAAATTTTAGGACCACCCAAAAGATGGAATATGCTAAAATATATGGTAAGTACAGTAATAAGAATAAAAAAAATCTGAAACTAGCCAAATTATCATTCCCAAAGGTAATGAAGGGGCACACTTCATTAAACAAGCTTTTCAATTTTATTTTTGTTATTTACAATTCTCCATCTTCTTAAGTTTGATATTTGAGTAATTACACCATTTATTTATTGTAGAAAGTATATTTAACGCAAAAGAACACATATGTAAAGGGATAACTATGAAAGTCTTCAGCATGACTGTGATGATCGATAATTACCAGCACTCCCTTACAGTACTGTACTTGTTTAATATTTCAATATGTGCAACCACTCTTACGTCAGAGCTGCCAGGCAGGCTAGGGACTCACAAAATCATTCAAAATCGGGTGGGAAAAATCAAAATGCAACAGTTATGGGAAGTGTCTTGGCGGGCTTAACCCAATAGTTGCAATAATTATCTTGCAAAGGTTAACGTTTTACTTAATTCTTAAAACAAATTTAGTTTACAGTATTATTCGATAAAGAAATAAAATAAACTAGTTTATTAAAAAAATAAAAAATAAGTTGAAAATCATTCTAAATATACCCAATCATTTTCTGTTTACCAGTACAGTATTGTGACCTCAAAAAATTACTCTTACTAACACTTATCTGTGTTGCAGAGCTGGAGACACTTTTCACAGAGTCCATTTTGAAGGGCCTTTTGTGAGCAACCAGAGGTAGTGATGGTTATTAATTTGTTGCCTATCAACCAGGTCATACTTGGACCTCCTGATATCAACATTTCTGCCACAGGCCCCCTGAAATGTCGAATAATTGTCACATTCTTAACAGATAATAAATACTACAAGAATATGAGTAGCATGCATAATGCCTTCTTTGTCACATTTTTTATTAAGTACAGTAGTTCACATGCATTTTGCTATCTCTGTTTCTGTATCTCTCACACACATGCTAGCAATCACATAGTAGAGAAGGGATCAATAAAAAAATTAAATACTATCCTAACTTTCCTGTTGCAAATCTGTTTGAATACAATCCTTCACTAAATGTCAAAAAAGTATACAGTAGTACCCGATTTACGCGGTCAATTGAACCCACAGGGTACCGCGGAAAGTGAAACCGCGTAAAGTGAACAACAGAACATATGGGATTAATTCCAAGAGAGACTGGCCCGACCCCCAAACTCCACTTTTTCCTGACACAATACAGTGGGGTATGCTATAAGGAACGGATCCTACAACGAATATTCCTATAACGAACGGTTTTACCTATAAAATTGAGAATGCTATAACGAACGAAACTCCTAAAACGAAAATTATTAAAAAAAAAATTTTTTTTTTTTTTTTTTTTTTACTAATTTATTGTTTTTTTATTACAAGTATTAGTGATATTCTTTATTTCAGGGGTTTAGATGCATATTTATGCACTTTTTTTAAATTTTTACAATTTTATATTATATTTTTCAGTGTTAAGTGGTTGTATTTGGGGGCCTGGAACGGATTAATCCTATAACGAACGAATGCTATAACGAACAAGGTTCTAGAACCAATTAGATTCGTTATAGCATACCCCACTGTACCTATGTTGTAGTAAAAATAACATCTAAATTTTATGATGGTATGCTCACACAATTAATATTTAAGAGAAATACAGTCACCAGGTTAATGTCCATTCAAACAATGGACTCAAATCCCCCCCCCCCTCTTCCCAGCTCACTGGCCCCTACCTCTCTGAGAAATGATTGGGTGAAACACTAGATTTTAACGTTTAGTAATAAATAATACCTCAGACTAAAGTTAGGATAATATAATTGACATTTCTGGATTCCTTGCAGGTCAGGGAATATTTTGAATGTAAACTTCATATATTTTGCACAAAAGACAAAATACTTGCTTTGTGTAAACCAAATTATTACATTAGATCTAAAATTTGTATGTCTAAAGCAAAATCCATGATGTTTATATTCAAAATGATCATCATATTGTAAGAATTCCAGCAATGTAAATTATATTCTGGTCGAGTAATTTGTATGAATTTTATGAGCTAAAACAAATATCTTCAGTTAATAAAAAAAAAAATATTCTTCACGACACTATCTGTCAATCAAAGTACCCCAACTTGCCTCCCCCCCTCCTCACACTCACGGCAGCTGGGTCAGTCGGTCCCAACCCTCCCCCCACCTTCCCTCCCTACCAGAGAAATTTGGGTGAAAAAACTAGATTTTAACTTTTAGTAATAAATAATACCTCAGACTAAAGTTAGGATAATATAACTGACATTTCTGGATTCCTTGCAGGTCAGGGAATATTTTGAATGTAAACTTCATATATTTTGCTCAAAAGATAAAATATTTGCTTTGTGTAAACCAAATTATTACATTAGATCTAAAATTTGTCTGTCTAATGCAAAATCCATGATGTTTATATTCAAAATGATCATCATATTGTAAGAATTCCAGCAATGTAAATTATATTTTGGCCGGGTAATTTGTATGAATTTTATGAGCTAAAACATATATCTTCAGTAAATAAACAAAGAAATATTCATCAAGGATACTATCTGTCAATCAAAATGCTCGGCCCTAGCTGGGTCGGTCCCTCCCTCCCTACCAGAGAAGCTTTGGGAGAAAATAGTATATTTACATTTTTAGTAATGAATAATAACTCAGACTAAAGTTAGGATAATTTAATTGACATTTCTGGATTCCTTGCAGGTCAGGGAATATTTTGAATGTAAACTTCATATATTTTGCACAAAAGATAAAATATTTGCTTTGTGTAAACCAAATTATTACAAAAGATCTAAAATTTGTATGTCTAATGTAAAATCCATGATGTTTATATTCAAAATGATCATCATATTGTAAGAATTCCAGAAATGTAAATTATATTCTGGCCGGGTAATTTGCATGAATTTTATGAGCTAAATAAAAAAAAAAAAAATTATACTTCACCGCGTATATGAGTAGATGCACCGAGGAAAGTGAAAGTCCGGTTCTGGCAAGGTACGCGTAAATGATAAATCGCGGAAAGTGAAACCGTGTAAAGCGGGGTAATACTGTACAGTAAATCAAAGGTGGTGATGACAATACTGTACAGGTATCCCTTATTATACAACTGATTACTAATTGAAATTACGATATTTTCACCCCCCCCACTTTTTTTACCATCCGAAAGCGGTTTTCAATTATCCAAAATGGTCGAATCGAAAGTTCAAACTGGGTGCCAGACACAGCCTGAGAGTCAGCTGGGGCAATGATCTTGGAATGCAATTGCACTGAACACTCTCTCACTCATGCTACATAATAATCAAACCCCATTCCTCCCACACCCCTCTCAGCCTACTCACCATCTGCTTAGTGTTCAGTGAAAGTGAAGTGCTATCTCTTCATCCTTGTGTATTCATGCCATCCTTTCGTGAATCTGTGAGTAATGGCATCCTAGTGTTGTGCTGATACCTCAGCTACCTCCACCATTGCCAGAAGACCACATAAGCCTACGACTCTTAAAACCAAGCATGAAATAGTCATGCGTCATGAATGTGGTGAAGGCCCAACTAAGATCAGCAGAGACCAACCTACTTCTACTGTGAGTACAATTATTCAAGCATGCTGAGGAGTTCAAGCGAGAAGCCGAGAATATCATGCAAATAGGAACAAGCAGGCTTACACGATCCCACGATGGTGTAATGGAAAATATTTAAATAGTGAATTTGGGGGGAATTTGTTACAAGGAGGAGGAATATGCTGGGATAGCTTCCATATGCCATGTGTCCACCCATGAGCCTTAGACATGGGATTGAGGCAATTCTTTGTTTATTCCTCCCAACCACTAAACTTTGATGGTGTAAATTCACATTTTTATACGATTTAATTTTTTTTCCTCACCCATTGGGTAATGGCCATAAATTGCCAACACCATCTTCAAAGAGTTAAAAGTGTTGACAGATTTCCTTTAATCCGGTTCCACTACCTTTATGTTGGCCTCAAATAAAACAGAAAAGACTACTCTTCAGTTTGTGGATGTCATTGCCTAAATCCAAAACAATGTTTTTCCTTGCCAGCAGCCCATCCCAATTTTGGAGTAATAGTTCAAGTTTAAACTCATTAACACTAATCCAAAAAGTTATCATATACATATATAATCTTACCTTTTAGGAAGGGGTGAACATGATGCAAAGGAATATCGAGACATCAAGTCAACACAGGTTTCTCTCAGTTCACTATACAGGTGTATCCTTTCTTCCTCTTGCTCAGTTTCATCACTTCCTTGTTCTTTGCTCATCTTGCCACTTCCCTTGCCTTTGACCTTTCAAGAAAAGGAAATATAACAATGTACTACATAATTCAACATCTTTTAGAAATACTGTAAAGCTGAATTTGGAATTTTTCTGTTTTTCAAGCTTCAGTGATACAAATACATTTTTATGTAACCCAGGTTTAATTCAGTCAATTCTATGGCTAGTCTTCAATTCCTGCCCGTTTTGCAGATCAAAGTGTGGTGAAGTTTGAGGTGGAAAAAAAGTCCAGCACATGCAACATTATTAACCAATGTCCACACTAGGGACTGTCAGTTGGTTGAAAATGTTCAAAGGAGGGCCATCAGACTGGTGCCTGCACTTCGGCACCTCAACTACCCTGAGAGATTGGAGCACCTGAACTTGCCTTGCTTATACTACAGACGGGCAAGGGGCGACCTAATTGAGGTGTATAAGCATCTCAGTCGAGTGTCCTTACTTGGCGCTGGCGGACGCTCGCCCCACACGGGGTCACAGCTCAAGATTGAAGAAGCCACAGGTCCAGAAAACTGTGAGGGAAAACTTTTTCGGAGTGAGAGTTGTGAACTCTTGGAACAATCTACCAGAAAGTGTTGTGTCGGCACCGAGTATGAGCTCTTACGAGACCAGACTTGACCAACACTGGAGCAGGTTCAGGTACATTCAGGAGCTGGTGCATGCCCAGTACTTGCCAACAGTGCGTAACAGAGACGTGACCGATAGCCCAAGCGGCTAATGAGCCGAACATTTGGTGAAGAGGATAAAAGAAAAAGAAAAGTAACAGACGTGACCGATCGCCCAAGAGGCTAACGAGCCAATCAGTGGTGAAGAGGATAAAAGTAAAAGTAAAGCATGTATTTTCAATCTCAGGTACAGTACTGTACTGTATTGAAGTTTCTCATTATAGAAAATGTAAAAATGCAAATGGTATTAAATACTCTCACAAAAAATATTTTGTTCTTCAAAGAAGGGTATGGACATAGCAAGATCAGTGTTATCTATCTACAGGGTAGAGCAATTTCAACAAATATCAAACATGGCTGGAATCCCTTAGATCAGGGCTTCTCAATTAGTTTTGGCCATTACCCCAAAACAGACCAGACACCAATACTCATTACCCCCCCCCCACATAAAAGTTTACTGGAACACTTCTTAATTGTATTTTTCCATAACCCTGAGACAAGACCACTGTCTCTATATCTGCACATTACATTTCTCTTATACTCATGAATTCAAATGCTTTAGCCCCCCAAAATATCAAATTACCCTCGCAAGGTAATTTACCCATAAGAACCATTGCCCTATATTATCTACAACTGTTCCTAATTCAGAGAAATAACTAAAGCATCACACCAATAAAAAATGCATTCTGTATTAGAAAAATAAGCTGTTGCTCTTAATTGGCTGACCATAACAGCAAAACTAGGCTAAATGCAGGAGCAGTAGGACTATGATGTGGCACTGGAAGGCCATCTTATATGTGGTAATAGCAGGAATAGCCAATAGCCTAGATGTGATAATGGCAGGAAAAGTTTAGATATGGTAATGGCAGGAATAGCCTAGATGTGGTAATGGCAGGAATAGCCTCGATGTGATAATGGCAGGAATAGCCTAGATATGGTAATGGCAGGAATAGCCTAGATGTGATAATGGCAGGAATAGCCTAGATGTGGTAATGGCAGGAATAGCCTAGATGTGGTAATGGCAGGAATAGCCTATAGCCTAGATGTAGTAATGGCAGGAATAGCCTAGATATGATAATGGCAGGAATATCCTAGATGCGGTAATGGCAGGAATAGACTAGATGCGGTAGTGGCAGGAATAGCCTAGATGCGGTAGTGGCAGGAATAGCCTAGATGCGGTAGTGGCAGGAATAGCCTAGATGCGGTAGTGGCAGGAATAGCCTAGATGCGGTAGTGGCAGGAATAGCCTAGAGTAGTGGCAGGAATAGCCTAGAGTGGCAGGAATAGCCTAGATGCCAGGTAGGCAGGAATAGCCTAGATGCATGAATAGCCTAGATGCAGGTATAGTGGCAGGCCAGGAATAGCCTATGTGGTAATGGCAGGAATAGCCTAACTGTGGTAATGGCAGGAATAGCCTAACTGTGGTAATGGCAGGAATAGCCTAACTGTGGTAATGGCAGGAATAGCCTAACTGTGGTAATGGCAGGAATAGCCTAACTGTGGTAATGGCAGGAATAGCCTAGATATGATAATTGCAGGAATATCCTAGATGTGGTAATGGCAGGAATAGCCTTTAGCCTAGATGTAGTAATGGCAGGAATAGCCTAACTGTGGTAATGGCAGGAATAGCCTAGATATGATAATGGCAAGAATAGCCTAGATGTGATAATGGCAGGAATAGCCTTGATGTGATAATGGCAGGAATAGTCAAGATGTGATAATGGCAGGAATAGTCAAGATGTGATAATGGCAGGAATAGTCAAGATGTGATAATGGCAGGAATAGTCAAGATGTGATAATGGCAGGAATAGTCAAGATGTGATAATGGCAGGAATAGTCAAGATGTGATAATGGCAGGAATAGTCAAGATGTGATAATGGCAGGAATAGTCAAGATGTGATAATGGCAGGAATAGTCAAGATGTGATAATGGCAGGAATAGTCAAGATGTGATAATGGCAGGAATAGTCAAGATGTGATAATGGCAGGAATAGTCAAGATGTGATAATGGCCTAGATAAAAGCAAAGATAAAGCAGGTCTGGTAGTTCCAGACACCACTTTTTGATTGGAAATTTCTGAAAATCATGACATCATTGATTTGGGTGACTGTATTATACACAAGTCTTTATGGACACAAAATTCAGGATATCACTTCACATTATGGGAATGCCCATTTTCATTAAAACTATACCTCCTTCCTTATCAAAATTGTCTGGATACATGTCACTTACCTTTGTCTGTCTCTCTGCACTGGATTTCTTCATATTCAAGGCTAATGTCATATTATTCTGAATCATTTCTAAATTCTGCAAATAGAGAAAACATTTATTGTTAAATGTATGAAAATGTCACACATTTCACCTAATCAACACTGTTTTCCTACCACTTGGTCTGCTAAATGAACAGCTTACAATTTTCTGGATGCAATGACAGACAAGAAGATAGTTAAATTCTGAAACCAGTAAATGTCAACAGTGCATATCAGAGATGTAACCAACCACCCAAGCAAAGAGGATGAAATAAGTACTGTACTTGTCACCTACAATGTTTAACATATGTACTGTATATACAGTATCTAAATACTGTACCTTTCTTAGAGAATATTCTTAAATTCCATAACTCCATCTGCTGACAAAATGGTGCTATTTGTTCCCTTTGCCTAAGATCTGTAATGTCTCCTTGGCATATGCACCACATGTGGTGATATACATGTTGTACTCTACAATACAGAAATTTGTCAAGAGGGTTCACTGCTGTTATTGGTAATTATGATCGCAATAGCGATGAGTTATTCACGTACAAAAATACAGTAATATTATCTTGATTATTTACTAAAATTTTAAACAAATTGCAGTTTCATTACTATTGTTGTCGATTGGGAATTCTAGGGGCACACCAACTACTATGGTTGTACAGTGCCCCAGGTTCCAGGGAGGTGCCAGGAACGAACTTGGGGCGCTTTGTTCCAACTCCAGGTACACCACCATGACACTAACCCATCTCCCAATCTCATTACTAATGAGAGAGAGATGTAAATTAAGGTACTGAACTGTCATTAAAGGGAAATAATACACAAACAAGATATTAGGAACACATCTCATTCTGTATTATAAAGTAAGTGCATCACATCTAATTGTTCTCTGTAAATATACCTCGCAACATCTTGGTCTATTCGCTCACATGAAGCAACCCTAGTAAAGTATTTCAGTTTGTACCTACCACAAATATCAGATTATCTAATGACATACAGTATTCAACTTTTATCTCGTATATAAAATTCATCTTGGACCAAATATATACAAGATGTGATCCAAAAGTTCTCGGACTGGCTTCATAAAACCTTTCTCTTAGCAGATAAAGAAACAAATCATCAGCAGTTACTCACCTTGGGTATAAGTTGTTTACTGCATCAATTTGGTGGGAATCAGTGGTGTCAACCAGCCGTAGTGCAGCTTTGTCGAGTCAATCGCCACTCAACCCTCACATTTTCCTTCAGACTTGGATAAAAAGATGCAGAAACCCATGAAATGATCGAGGAAGCCTACAAATATGAAGCAATGTTCAAGGCTTAAGTTTTCAGGTGGCACAAGTGCTTCAAAGAAGGGTGCACCTTTGAAGATGAGCATCATTCCAGTCAGCCTTCCACTGAATGAAATTATGAATATGTCCAAAAATGACCAGCTCTTCCATGAGAATCGTAGGGTGACCATCCGCGAGATTGCCAAGCAATTGGACCTTTCATATGGATATGTTAACCGGATTCTGACTGATGACCGGCAATTGGCTGCTTCACCAGGACAACACACCTTTGCACACTGCCCTCTCTGTGAACGATTTTCTGGTGAAGCACAGCATCCCAGTTGTCCCCCACTCTCTGTACTCTCCAGATTTGGCCCCCTGTGACTTCTGGCTGTTTCCAAAGTTCAAGTTGAACCTCAAGTGGAAGAAATTTATGGACAGCATGGAGATCCAGGACACATAGCAAATCTGATTCCAAAAGCGAGAGGAGTGGATTCAGTGTTGCATTGAGGCCTCTGGAGAATATTCTGAGGATGACTAAAGTTTCACTGTAATATCTTGAAAAATAAAGATTTTATGATGCCAGTACTGGAACTTTTGGATCACACTCGAATATCTAACACATATCCAGCTGACATATAAAACAATTATCCAGCTTGTATATAATACATACTGTTTGGAGCTTTCTTCTTGTACTATATATTTAACAAATACTCAGCTTATACTTAACACACACACTGCTAGTATTTAATATATATTAACCAAATATTCAGCTTCTCTATAACACATTCAACTTGTTTCTAACACATTCATTTGTATCCAAGACATATCCAACAAGTATATAACACATTAAACTTACTCAGCTTGTATCTAACATGCTTGCTTCTAGCTCATATTGGTATTCAGCTTGTATCAAACAGTCAGCTTACATTGGACATATATAAAACAAATCTTATGCTTCTCATTAAACATTATTTAAAGATGTCTAACAACTCCATTCTCTGAAGATATTTTCTTGCAAATTTGTTGATGATAGCATCAATATCCAAGGACATGTCATGTGAATATGAGTTAGCAGTATTCCATTTGTGCAGTCTTGAGTCATTGTTGTCCAAACAAATGTTTTGAGACATCTTGATCCATTAATACTGTAGACCACTCACACTCACAGGATGTTACAGGCATCGTACAAAATATATGCAGCAAACAGTGGATGTGTGGGAAAAATAATCTCGGTTTGTTTCATGATCTCTATTGCTGAGCTTGGGGCCTTTGTTACTGATTTAATTTTCTTTATTAGCTGTTACTGGAGAAGGTAGGTCATCTTGGTAGAAATGTACAATTTCACTGATGACATCTATGTTTACAGTCCCAGATGTGCATATCACAAATGGGATGAGATGCAATACCTGAATTGTTAGTCTTGTGTGCTCAGTGAAGCGATCTTGTAGTTCTGTAAGCAGATTGTCAACCAGTGGAATGACAAGATTGCATTTGTAGTAGTCTTCTACTGTGAACGGTTAAATCTGAAGAACGTCATGTGATGGCTAGTGCCAACGGAGACTATACCCTTTCCACGCTAACCTGGCCTGTAGGCCATGCCCCTCTTCTATACTAAAAGCTGACTGGTTCATAGAAAATTCAAACACAAATGTGTTCACAATTGGTAATCAGACCTGTTATTTATCTAAAATAATGTTAAATATCTGGACTATCAAAATGCAAATGATTTCAAGGCATTAGCACTTCAGAGAGGATGGTAGAAATTGTAAATACTTATCATAAAAGGTCAATATAAATACACGCTTATTTACGCGCGTCTGGAGGGAGGTAAAACGCTCAGGAGAACCAATCGGCGTGAAAATACTATAGGTGTTCCGACTTAGCCACCATACCCTCTTCGTTAGTTATAGTGAGGTCCAGTGGTTTGGTTGTTTCTTACCCTCAATGATGAGTCGGAAAAGGATCTTTAACATGTTGAAATAGGAAATTGTCTCACAGTTTCAATAGAAAGAGAAGCTGGATTATTAAGGTCATTTGGTGTGGTTTTATTCCCCCAGTCAACACCGACATTTTTGAAATCCTCCATGACAAGTGAGTGGCTAGGGTCGAGCGCCGTTACATTGTCAATTTAGGCTCTTAAGTTCCCTTGTTTTAAATAAGCTACAATTTGGGGTTTTTGCAGATACATCCCACAATGAGTAAGTCTCTCCCCGTAAGTTTAATTTTACACCACTTCAATTCTTCAAAAACCTCCTCCACCTGCACCCTCACCCCTCTTGTAAGTTGCCTGAAAAAGGTTCGTAAATGAGTCATATCCATCTACAGTAATACTATACAGCTCGTCCCCGACTTACGACCTACTCGACTTACGACCACCCGTACTTACGACCTGCCTCGGTAATACTGTACCAAAATTTGGTCAAATTAAGTATTTTCGAGTCCCAAAGTAAGAACACAAAAAAAAAAATATTTGTAATTCACTTTAAAATGGCTGGCAAGCTTAAAAGTGAGTGTTTTGTGGTGATGAGAAGAAAAAGAGACACTCAGTTTAGATTTTCCATATACTATTTAAGCATATCCGACTTACGACCTGGATGTCGGTCTCTAACCCCGTTGTAAGTCGGGGTGGAGCAGTATCTCCATTAACCAGAACCCCTCTTAGCCGAAATTGAAATTTGCTAGGAATTTTTCCAAAAATTTCTTTCAATTCTGGGTTTGAAAAATTTTTTCTGTGGTTGAAAATCAGGCGCATTTTCTGCAAAATTCCTAGAACAGTTCCGAAACCTCTCTCCAAATTATTTTTCCGGGTTTGGGAAAAAATTCAGAGGTTTGAAAATTGGGTGCATTTTCTGAAATTCCAAGGAATATTACAGAAACTCTCTCTAAATATTTTTCTATGCCTGGGAGCAAATTCTGAGGATGAAATACAGTACGTACCAGTACAGTACAGTACAGTAGACCTTTCCTACTCATGGGTTTACGATTCGCGATTTCGACGATTCATGGTAAGTGTACATGTTCTAGGTGCTCAGTTCTAACTACAGGAGCGAACACAAACACCTGTAGAGTTTTGTAGATTCTATTTGCTGGATTGTACAGAGGTGCGAGCCAAGACGGCGGTTCCTATACTCTCTATGGGTCAACTGACCTCTCTCTGACCTCTCAGGCGACATGTGGCAAGTGATACATTAGCAGCTTCCAGATGTTGCCAGACACATGATGACATGGTGACATGATAAAAGCATTGCCACACGCTGCTGGCTAATAAGTAATGTATATAAATGGATTACATACATGATATACATACAACATACATAATATACATACAGTAAGCAACTGGTGGGTCAGGTGGCTAGCATGCGAGCCTTCTCCCACAGCGCAACGAGTCACTCCACGCCCCCGCGGCATCTCATCTCACTCTGTCCCCACCCAGTACCAGTGACCCAGCATCTCATGTTATACTCTCTAAACTTTTGTGTTTCTTTGTAAAAATGGCCCCGAAAAGACTGCCTAGTGTCAGTGCTTGTGATGCTAGTGGAGTGAAACATAAAAGGCAGAAGTCAGTGATGACCCTGGCAAAGAAAATTTAATTATTAGACAAATAAAAGGAGGTTGTTTGGTGTGAATGAATCCAGTGCAATATTATCAAGAAAATTGCACAAGCAATTTGTGATATTGTTCAAGCAAGTGCTCCTGCAAGTGCTAAAGTGGCGCAGGTTGTTCGTGAGAAGAACATAGTGAAAACTGAGAAAGCGCTGAACATTTGGATTGAGGACCAGTACTG